GCCACAGGCATCAATAGGAAGCCCTTCAGATCTAAGTGCCTCCATACACTATCAACGCATATGAAGCTGAGTGTAAAACATTGGTTTTTATTGATGCACCATGTCTAGTTAACCATTTTGATTGATGTATTCATGTGGTTCCTTTGGTGAAAATAAGAGTATGTGGTATACAGAGATTAGCTCCTGCCATTGAACGTGAGACAGGACATTGAGTTAATATTATCCCTTAGTTACTGTGGACTGACCGTGCCCATAGTCTCCCAAAGGAGTGGACAGCAAAAGCTTAAATAAATGAGTTCAAAGCAATGATTTCAGGGCTCTAGGATGATCAAAACCCTCCACAGAATTCAAGGTTTTATGGGGGCTAAAGTGAAGAACTTCTCTGGGCAGGTGGTATTCATTATGTTATCAAACAAAGGAAGGGAATACTGAGGAAAATGCAGGAATCTGGGAAGGATTTTGGGAATCCCTTTAAGGACTTCTCCAAGTAATACATTATGTTAGTTTAGGAGAACTAGGTTGTCTCCAGGAAGGCCTTCACCACAGAATGAGATACCTGGAGTTATACTCTTTCTAATTCATTGAAGTTGGAGCCAAGTGTCCTGCACTGTGCCCTTGTCTTCTCCTTTGGGGCCTCATGCTTTCACCTGCTGTGACAGGTCTGAGGGGGACCGGTGACTCACTCACTTTGTTTCTGGTGCCCATCTCCAGACAAGGGGCTTAGCCTTTGGGCAAACTCACAAGTAAACATGAAAAGCCAACTGGTTAATTTAAATCCTACGAAGAGCCACGTAATAGTGGTCTCCAAAAATAGAACGTACAGGTTGACCCTTCATCCTTCTGTGTCTGGATATTGGAATCAGAGGAAGGCTGAGTAACATTTGCTAACTCAGGATCACAGAACCCTACTCCTAGAGTGCTGTCATGGGAACGTCACACGCAGGCTATGTCCAACTACCCGTGAGGACAGAGACGGAGGCTTTCGTTGAATATACACAACAGGCTCTATTTTTGATTTGTTAATGACTATTTACCTAATAAGTATCTTGATGTGTAATAAAATTTTCACTTAGATTTGCACTCATTATAACTTGATAATGAAGTTAGTGAGCGTAGCAAGCTCAGTGCCTATAGGCTCCAGGGGGTTCTATCAGTGTCTGATCAAACTTCAACCAAAAGAATTTGGCCAGGTGCAGCTTCCCTCAGTAAAAATGAGTACCCTGAGATCTTTTAGGATAAATCAGCTATTTTCTTTCGAAGAGAAACAAGACCATATTTTTGTGATTAAAAAAACCTACTTTGAGAGTTCAACTATATTTGAAATGATTCTTGGCTGCTATAAAATATTATTACCAGATATACTATACACCACTCAAAAAAAGTTGAATACTTCAAGGTGTGGAGAAAAAAATTTACAGATATATTGCAGTGGTACATGGTCGTCCTGGTTCAACTTTTAAAAATATAAAGAGAACAAAGGGCACAGTTGTGTTATGAGAAAGCTCAAACTCTAATGAAATGAATTATAACTAATTTTACAGCAGCATTTTGACAAGAGACTTAAGAATTACATTTGATCCTTTACTGTGCTGGCAGCAATTTAATCTGTAGGATACAGATTTGAATACTATTTGAATATCTATTTTAAACAATGGGTTATTTGGGCTTGTTCCTATCTTCATTCAGAAGGGAGCAGAGATAGTCAGACTCAGTGATACTCATGATCATTTCAGCAGTGAGACGACAGGCCAGTTATACTGCAGCAGTTCAGAGAAAGACAAGCATGGCACCTCAAATGTATTCTGGACATCACTATCAAAGGCCAGTGTTTGCAGAGACTAGTCATGACACTTCTCAGAGACAACACTGAGCAATTTAACAGTCTTTCTCAAGGGCTTGCATTTTCCAAGTAGGGGATACTGAAGCATCAATCAACTCTAATCAGGGAAGTCAAAGATAAGAATCAGATCAATTACAGAATGCTCAGGGCACTAAAGGAGTCTTACACAACCTAAATAAAACATCGTCCCCACCAATCCATATTTTTTCTTTTAAAAAATACTTCCTTAGAATTTATAATGGATTACAATTTATGTAAATGATAAGCATGTTAAAAAATTTGGAAAATTTTTAAATCCCAACTAAAGTAAAACAGGTACAGCTATGCATAACCCAAACTATCATATATAAAATCAAATAGGACCAATGTAATTCAGCTTAAAACACACAATAACATACAATGATTCCAGTGGAAACTTTGATATTCTTGAGAATAACTTAGGACAAAAATCTACTTTTCTATTTTTACCTCTTGTCATTAATAGTTCTAATATGAACTATTCCAACTGTAATAACTGTGCAGAAGTATTAAACAAAATTAATGTAGGATAAAAGAAAATCATCTAATCACCATCACCAACCACTGTTTCTTCCCCACAACCATCAATAATTAACATAGCAACATTTATCCCAGTCCACCTGGAACAGACCCATGATCATTCGAAAGCCACATGGAATCTATCATGTAGTTAGAGGCCCAGCAGTAAACCAAATCACACCAATTTCTCCCTTGGAATAACTACATATTAGTTGTTCCTCACAATCTGAAATGAAAAGTAAAGCTAGGCCTGTTTTATCTTGCTTTTCATGTTCATAAATTTTTTTTTCCAGAACCGGGGATTGAACTCAGGCCCTTGCGCTTGCCAGGGAAGCGCTTCTTCTACTGAGCCATCTCTCTGGCCCCCTATATTCATAATATTTGAAGATGCTATCAGAAAGGCATTTTTTATGAAAAAGTAAAGATATTGAATGGCCCAAATGGGCAGGCAGGATGCAATGGTTGGCAACAATTTGATTTCTGAATAGTGCTCCTATTTGGGCCAAGTGACATGGCAGTCCCTAACTCTGGGCAGACTCCAAGTCCCTGAAATGCAGGTGGTCCAAAGAGAACAGCTGTGAGAATAAAATATGCACCAGATTCTGAAGACTTAAACCCAACTGCAACATACTGCATGAATGATTTCATATTAATTCTATGTTTAAGTGATAACATTGTCATTACATTGAGTTAAGTAAAATATATTTAAATTAATATCACCCACTTCTTTTGATTTTTAAAAGTAGCTACTTTAATAATTAAATCACATAGGTAGTTTGTATTTCTGTCTTGCATTCATTGTAATTCTACTGGACAGCTGGATTTAAACCATACTCATAATAATTTGTAGTAGACTTTGGGTTAAGTTCCACTCTACCACTTGGCTCAGAGCTTGTAAGAACTTTGCCATGTGGAAGGAGACAGTTTCAAAGCACATTTCCTACTGAAGAGCATGCAGGTTTTTTTTTATAGTCTAATGAGAGGCCCAACATGTAAAGGTCTGGAGTGGAAACAGCGATAGACGGGGAAGATTTCATAGGAAAACATCAAGTATGGGCTAAAGTGCCAGGAGTTTGATTTTTTTTTTCCCTTCTGATCCACAGACTCCGTATATAATTCCAGCTTCAGAAGGAAGAGTTAAAGAACTCATGAATAACCAAGGTAAAAGAGCATTTCTAAAGAATCTAGAGTCAGGCTCACTGAAAACAGAAGGCGGAAGGTTGACATGAGTAATTGCAACTCTTCAGAATTTGCAGTCTTCTTTATCTCTATGTCCTTCCCATTGCTTCTTCTCGATCTTTCCATGTTTGTCCCCATTTCCCTATCTACTGACTGCTTGGTGCCTGCTTTCTCTGCCCCTAGTTGCAGGGGATGCTCCTTGACACTCTTCAGTACTTCTTTCTCTCTCTGTTTGTGCCTTTTCCATCTTTTGCTTTTGAAAATTTATGCTCAATTGCATGCCATGGACATGAACTGTATCTTAACAGACTGTAATGTCTTTCATGTCTTTCTCTAAGAAGACACAGGAAGAAATGGGGAGAAAAGACATTCAAACACATGGAAGTACTTTGTACTTCTGTCTTTCTTGTATTGATTTTGTTTTGTCTTTAAGCATTACTAGAGTGGTGTGGCTCAAACAGAAGCCTTAGTCAGAACCACCTAGGTCCCATGAGATCCAGAATCAGAGTTTTTGGGTGAGAATCACCAGTCTTAGTTATAGAGGCTTGCAAAACAGATTACCCACTGTCCTTGATGCTTCATGTATCAAAGAACCCACTGAAAGGTATATTCTCTTAAAGGTTATAGGGGAAATACCCAATTTTTTGTTTTAGTTAGAAAATTAAAAGTTGGAAAAAAAGAAGAACCACCCTAAAAACCATGCCAAATAAGTTTTCAGAGTTTGACACACCCCCCTTTGAAGCTGAAGTATGTTAATTGACATTGTTATTATGGGTTTCGATTTCAGAATAGCTCAGTAAATACAGTCATTTCTGGAAAAAACTGCCATTCAATTCACATAAAGCAGCCAATACTACATACTGCAGTAAATATTGCTATTCCATTCAGCTAAAAAGTGATTATGCAGTTAACTCTAATGTTGCTTCACCCAAATACTTTTTGGTTAAGTAAAAAGTTTGAAAGATATGAAACCCATGAAGCTCAGTTCTACCTAATACACTCTCCCTCTCTGATTGCTGCCTATAAATATCTTAGAGGATGTATCCTCAGAACACCGCACTACTTGTAAGCCATTTATAATTATCTTTAGGAATTAGCTTTTTAAAATGGACCAAAACACAAGACCTGAATCTGATTACATTTGGAGCCTGTTAATACTGGTTGCATCAAAATCTGTGCTTTGGAAGCCTCAAGTCTTTTAAGTCATAAAGCTTTGATATAGCGTTAATGGCATATATATTTACTATTATAAAGCCTCTAACATGCAGAAAATTAAGCCCAGGAAAGATTACTTCTCAAAGGCAACACTTTCATTCAGAGACCAAGAAAATAATTTAAAAACGTATTGGAAGCTCTCTAGAATACATGTTTAGACTATCAATAATGGAGCACATGCCAAGACATGAACATGCGGAGAGAATGAGAAAAATAGGACCAGTCATACCTTGTTATGCGTCTGAGTCTGTCCCACCAGGATGAGGATGTTGGATGAGATAATAGACAGGCAGAAGTTAATCAGGATTATGGATCTCTCAGAGCGTATGTACCTAGTCAGAGAAAGAAGGTCCAGCTTCAAAATTCAACAAAAAGAGGGAAAATTCTGTATTGTGCTATTATGGAATTCACCTGGAAAAAGTACTCTAGGACAACCTTTAGAGAAGTAAACACAGGAAAGCTTCTTATAAATATTTTTTCTTGGAGACCTAAGTTTATGGTGCATGGCATATGCAGGAGTTTTGTTTTGTTTTGTTTACATTTTTTTCTTTGACATTAATGCAAAGAATATGGCATTTCTGAGAGTGTAAGCTGCACATCTGTGATCATAATGCACTTATTACACTAGAAATACAAAATTCCTTGGAAATACATAAATTAGTAAAGCCATCTTTAGATAGGTAATAGTTAATGTACACTACGCTTAGTATTACAATAGATATCAACCAATGGAAATCAAGGATCGAAAGACCCCCCTCCCAACATTCTGAAGTGTTACTTCTCTCGCAAGATACCATTACTCTCATGAAACTATGAACACTGTTCATCCACTCTAGCATGTTCATATAGACTGTTCCTTACGTATCCCAATAACTGTCTCTTTGTCCAAGAAAGAAAAGAAGAACAAAAGAAAGAAAATGATTCTTTACCTCTGCGAATGAATGCACTTCACAAATGGTAAATTACCATGAGGCTACTACATTACTTGGGGTTTGTCATTGTTCCGTGCACCAAGAGCACAAAATTTTCTCAGAATCAAATGTTCTACCAGCTGTTTACCTTGAAAAGGTAACAGCTATTTTGTTTTATTGTACCCCGTGGTAAATCACTGACAGTAACTAAAAGACAACCTTGTACTTGCTGTGAGTTTCAACCTGTTCAATTTGTATTATAACAGGGAATTACACTCCACAGCAGGCGTGGGCCTTTCTCTGCAGTGCTGGGCCAGCAGACCCAAGACCTGCAGGCGTTCTTTAGGAGATAAAATCTATCAAAGCTCTCGCCCTCCCACACCCTGTCTTTGAAAAATATTTAGGCAGAAGCCCCACATTCCATTACACAGAAATGAAAGCAAAAGAACAAAATACCAAAACGCCAGAAGCAGATTTTATAATCTAACTTTGCTGTCTTCACAGAACAAAACCATGTGGGACTAACCTAGGTCAATTCTCAGCACCAAATGGCTTCAACTGTTGCCAGACCTTGTCCCTGTACCACACACAGCTAAAAGTACAACAAAGCACACATTGGGATCATCAAATATTAGGCTGTTCCTTTTTATTGTATCAGGAAAGTAACAACAAGTTGAAGTGTTGTATATAATTAACCTATCATATGATATTCATGCCTTTCGTGACAGTATAAGAACATATATTGCATTATGAAAGTGGTTTCACATGTTATTTTTAGTGTTAGAAAGAACATACCTATAGATGGACCTACAGCATGACTCAGAGTATTAATTTTTATCTTTTCCTTTGAAGTTGTGGAGATTATGCTCAGGCCCTTTGCATCTCAAGACCAATGCTCTACCACTGAGATGTACCCTTAGACCTGTACTAAATTTGGAAGGAACATTTCTGATAGAACACTCAAGAACTTCAAAACATCATATAAGGTATAAACAAATCATGAGAAAGTCAAAATGCCTAAACATATTATAATAATAATAATTATTTGGTGCTGGGATTTGAACTCAGGACTTTGCACTTGCCAGACAGGCACTTGTGCCACTGAGCTATATCTCCAGCCCCAAACATTTTAATTAAATAAAAAGGCAACAGGATCCTAAAATCCTTATTACCATATAGTAATGTTACAGTGTAAATTTGTGTTTATAAAATTTTTAATTCATCATGCTGCAAGGTCTACTTAGTAATTTATGAGTCTTCATGCTTTCAAACTACAACTATTAAAAAAAAAACCCCTACCACTATTTAGGTCCACTGCTGATGAATATTTTACTAATAGAATTCAAATTTGTGTTGCTTGTGTACTTATTTTATAATTCTCAGTGTTTTCATTGCCTATACACTCTGAGGTGTTTTAGTAATTCTTTGAAAACTTGAAATTAGTGATTTTTCTATCTCTTCTAAATGAAGGAAAGTTTTACTGTGGACTAAATAATCCAGTATTTCTATAATCCATTTTAAATATACTTTCACTGACAGTATTCACACTATAGTTAGCTATAAGCATTGAGGGCAAAGGAGAAAGTAGAATTTGTGCTTCATCCAGTAATTGCTGAGAAGCAGACTCTAGTTCTACGTGTTCAGTAGGTATGAACTACAATGCTGCTGTATCTAGTATCCTGCCCCGAAGGGCTGAAAAAAGTGACACTTAGACAGTTGTCTTCCCAACTTTCTTCCCCCATCTTACCCTTCAGGACAATGCCTCTTTGACAATGGCACAGTGACACTAAGCTCTGATTTCATTTCCCAGAATTGTCCATATTTTACCAGATTGTCCCACTTTTTTGTATCTTTGATTATCAGATAACTCCTTCATATGGATGTGGGACTGGTGCTATGAACTGTGTGTAATAATCGGTCAAATTGGGTGCATATTTTATTTTTGTGTGAAGCACAAAAATTCTTGAAAGTTCATTCTTGTCCTCTGAATAGTAAGACTCATGAAAGATAATAATTTTTTGAAATGATGTTAAATCAAATGGTCATCATTAATTAAATTGTAATTAATTTTCATTTTTCAACTTAGGTTTCAAATACCTTAAATAAAAAATAAAGACTGGAAATCCTTTGAAGTAAGGAATCAACTATTAAAGTTTAAATATTGTAAACATTCAAAAAAGAGATATCTACTGTATTTTAGATCATTTCTAGCAACCAAAATGGATATAAAACAATGTAGCAACTAAAACTATAAAATACAGGAGAAAGTTGGGCCAGATAGCTATATATTCATGGCCAATATGTGAGTTAACATTAAAAACCTCTCAGGTCTTACTAGCATAATAAGAAATAATAGAGAAATTAGAGAAATTTAAAAATTTCACATACTATCAAACATTTCCATTTGTTTAAACACCTTTACGGCTTCCTCTAATCATTTTGTCAAAATCTGATTGGTTATTCTCCACCAAGAGACCTTTCCCAGAGCTTTGTGGTCTCTAAGCTGGTGATGATTAGCTAAATCTTTACTCATTGTCTGGTACATGCTGAAAACACATGTGAAACTCAAGAAAGTAAAATCGTATTTTTAATAAAGAGAAATTAATTCAGCTACTGTACCAGCTGAACTCTCCACAGCAACTGGGATAAACAGAAGCCACACATCCACTGAAGCTGAGGCATAAGAACACCACACATGGAAATAAGCAACTTGTTAAAGGTTATCAGAAAGAAGTGTATGTGTGTGTGTGTGCATGTGTGTGTGTGTGTTTCTCACCACAAACAATTACAGAAAGAAAAATCAGGTACATATGTATCATTTTTACAGCTTGATTACAGCAATTGAAACTGTTTTTAAAAAATACTACTTTTAGCAAACTAAGAAGACAGGAAATACGCAGTGTGGTTGCTGTATTCCCCGACTGGACTTGGAACATCTGAGAACTCCAAGTCTATCAACTGATCACCTACCTCCATAACGCTGCATAGACAACTGCCAGGGTGATCAAAGCCAGGCAAGAAAGGCCACTGCCTACTACGAGGGTAACTGAAGGTGTGCCAGAGGATTCCATGATCTGGAAGTCAAACAAAACAAAGAAGAATAACAATGTTAAAGGAACTAAAAGAGCTTTGAGATTCAGCAAAACCCAGCTGTCATTCAAAAACAGCCTAACTGGGCATTACAGTCACCAGGTAATCATCTATGGATCCACTCAGTGGATCCAGAGATTCTCAACTTCTAAAATGACTAGTGCCAGCTCACTCTGCCCTCTCACTGTGTGAAGTAACAAAAGTCCTCAGAGTTTCCAATGCTTGGTTGTGCCACATTACCTAGAGCTTTCTAAAATACAGACTTGTACTAGAACTTGGCCAACATTCACATGTTAAATTTTCTTTAGTTAAAATCTGAAGCAGAATTCGCTTCTGTCAACTCCAGTTCAGTCGCTTCATCATATGATACTTGGTAAAACTGACCCCAAGATTCCCAGTTATAAGTCATTATGTGGCCCGTATTTGGTACACAAATATGAAGAATTTTTCAAACTTTCTGACTTTTGAGAACTTTGTTCTAAGTCAAGTATTCTCACATTAAATTTCATTTGGTTGGCCTCTCAGAGACAAAGAAGAAAATAAAATGTCAAGTTTAAGACTTCTTAAAGTACATTTGTGATATTTATGAACAAAATATGTGGTGGTACCAGTCTCCAATGACAGTATCAGTTTGTAAAAACATGACCTTGAACGATAAGCCTTATATCTTTTAAAACATAAAGATTACAAGCATTCCCTGATCTAATAGGTTTCTTTCCTTAGACACAAATATGAAATGAACTAATGAAATCTGTTGTTTTTCATAATTATATATTGGAAGTTTGAAGGATTACACATTATTATTAAATGTGTTCCAAAACCTTAATATATATCTTAAATTATACTAGGTATGTTTGCCATCATAAGAAAGAGTGATGCTTATTTAGGCCAAATTAAAGAGAAAGTCGAATTTATCTGAATGATCATTTTGCAATCTTTCTATTTTTACTGTATTTCATCAAAATACATTTCATGAAAATTTTTTTTTTCTTTACAACAGTTTCATATAGCTGTCTTTTTCAGAAACTAGTTGTGCAAAACCAATATACTTCTAAGGAACAATTTCAGACACCCCTGTTTCCATGAAACTTCATTATTTGAATATCTATCTATCTTTCTATCTATCCATCTATCTATCCAAGGACACCCTCAGAAAACCTGTACTGAAAATGCCCAATGCAGATAACCGATATGTTTGGCTCTAGTGTCTGGGGTCTCCATGCTACTACTAGCAGTATGTTCACAAATTTCCCCCAAAGAGCTTTCCAGTCTTAAGATAAAGATTAAGTTGGCAATTATTTGTATTTGAAAGTTTGCAGCATATTAGTAATATGACAGGGGTACATCCTCCAAACTGTACTGCAGACAATTCAAGTTAGAAGACATAAAATTGAGTAGAATTTAGTTACAGCACGTCAAGTAGAATTCATTTTTCCCAGCCACTGTAGCTAAGGAGGAGACGAACCCAATTTTGCCACCCTGCAACCTTTTCCATTTCCCCATTTAAAATGCAGTTCCCTGGAGAAGAAGCACTCTCCATAGTGTCCCTGCCTTTGCGTTCTAGCCTGTTTTCCCTTTGTTACTTACTATTTCTCTAGGTTGCTGAGCCAAAATGGCGAAGGTGGAGAGACGATCGCATAAGCACTTCGTATGGGATGCATCCGTAAGCACAGTTTTACATCCCTGGGTGGACCACGTTCCCAAAGATTCGTTCCTGCAAAGGGGGTGGGGGACGGCAGATCGGGATAAATACGCCTGACAGCCAAATCCGTAAAGAATAAAATGCAGTTTAATTGAGAGAATCGTCTACTGTAGTTCCCGTACAGGAAAAAAAAATCTACTTGTTGTTGAACAGGGCGTAATTTAGATTCATCTCCAGTAATGCAAAGCGAGCGGAGAGAAGCAAGCCGGCGGAGGTGCAGCGTGCAGAGAGCTGTCCAGGACCTGGGGTGCTGAAAACAGGACCGGCTCTGTGCAGCCCTCTGCGAGGAACGACGGCGGCGCGAGCACCGCTAGAGCTTTGGCAGCCGCTTCCTATGCTCATCGGATCGCTTCAAACACTCAGGGTGCAAAGAAGCTTTCTACATTTTCATACCAGCTTTGATTCCCGGCCCTTCTTTTGGACCGTGAATGCTGGCTTTAAAAATGCGGATTTCTCTGAAAAGCTTGCCTAAAAGGTTACATAGCTTGAGTTGGGGGGTAGGATCTTCTCGGCTGCTGGTTAGGGATTTTTCCTCCCTTCAGAATTAGCTGCTGTGAAAATTTCACCCTGGAAACGGGAAGCAGAAGCAGCGGCATCAGCTGGTTCCGACTCTCACTGCCTTCGCCTGGTATCCAGGGGAGGGGAGGGATTCCGAGGCAGCTTCCCACTCGGCACTCCACTCAGCCCAGCGCTCCTTAGAAGCCCTTGACATTTCTTCCCCTCAGCTTCCTCCTTGCCCTGGGGCAGAAGCATTAAGCTAAACCCAAGTCCACTAAAACATTTAGAAGAATAAATCCACCCCAAAGTCCAGGAAAAGGGGGAAAGACAGCCTGATTTAATTTTCTCTTTGGTATAGCCATTCAAAATGCTAAAGCATATGGTTTATTTCCCACCCCAGCAGAACAATAAAAATGGTATCAACCCATGTCTTCCTACTGGGGGATGGGGAGAGCCCTTCCACCCCCAGCTGAATCAAACTATAGGAAGAGTGAAAAAGAATAAAAAAGGCTACAGAGCTCAACCAATCAACTTGATCATCATTACACGTGTTCCGTGTTGAATGCACCCATTGTCCCCTCCCCAGACACACAGCATCTTCAGCTAGCAAACCTGTGTGTGTGCATGTACTTAAACCATAAACCAAGTTACTATTTGTGTTAAAAATGACTCTAAAATTCACACAGAAAACCACATGGCTTGGTGTTAATTTCGATAAAATACTTCTGATTTTGCCTTCTACATCACTGAATGCCTAAAGCTACTGAGATAAATATGCATGCATTTATATCCAAGAGATTCAGGGAGTGGTTTCTCTGTGACAGTTGGACTTCCAACTTGAGTTATAGAATATAATTCACACTATCTCTTTCTGGTTTCTATAAGCAATAGCAATACCTTTTTTTAATATTCATGGTTTGATGTCATTAAAATTCATGACTCAATACACTCTTAATTACAATTTCTTTTAAGGAGAAGGCATATACTATATTTGGGAAAAGTTAACTGAAAATTATACCCAACTTTTCCTAAATACTTTTCAGTATTAGTCATTTCAACAATTTTAAGTCTCTATTCTCTCACACAATGCCATGCAATAATGCCAAATTTAAGAAAAATACTGTCAGTTCAACTGCAACAGCATTAAATTCCAATTCTGCCTAACCATAGCAGCATATGAGTTGATTTTATTAGCTGTGTCTCTCTTATCTTTTTATGACAAATAGTTAAGGCTAAATGAAAAACATTTATCTTAGCTGATCAAAATTTAAAGAATGTAGATACACCTAAGAGAATCTGACAGGTTTTAAAACATATCTACATTATTCATCCTGAATGGCACTTTACTTTAATATAGTATCTTTATTTCTGAGATGAAGTGCAATATTTACAATTTTCACATTGTGGGGTTATGACCAATGTCTTAAAGAAATACTTTACTGTAAATATGAATTCATAGCCAGGCTTGGTGGCACATGCCTGTAATCCTAGCACCTTGGGAGAGTAAGGCACAATGATCAAAAGTTTGAGCACAGTTTATGCAACTTAATGGCTTTGCAGAGACATAGCTCAGTGTTAAGGTCCTGAGTTCAATCCTCAGTATGTACAAAAGGACTCTATATGAAACAAAATTACGTATTTACATTAATGTAATGAGAGTTGATTGCTTACGATGACAGCAGCATCACTAAGCTCTGGCTGTCCAATGCAGTCTATGTTCATATAATGTTGCGAGACTCTGAAAATCATGTAAATTTTAGCTATAACATGTTTACAAAGCTAGGCCAGTGTGCTTTAATCTGTACAGTCATTGCGTTTTTTAGCTGGTTCAGTCTCTGTCAAGACTGGGAAGTCAGAAACTCTGATCTCTGCTCTTCCACGCTGCCCACCACTACCACAGAACATGAAATGTGTTTTCTTCTGCATACCTTCCTGAGGCTACTACAACTCTGTAAAATTTAACACATACATTCCTAGTTTAAACAAAGATCTACAGAATAAGGCAACGCATCTGGTAGATCAGGATTTATATCAGGTGAATAGCTGAAAAGTTCTTGAGAGGGACAGGGGACAACCAAGATCTTCATCTGGTCACTCATAACAGCTGAGTAACAAAATGTGTGGTACATTCTGGTAATAAAACATAAAGCATTTCATACAACTCTTGATATTTTGAGATTTACATAAAGCTTCTTTGAGTTTTACAATCGGCACTATACATAAGACTACTACACAACTCCTGTAGTTTGTGTTACCTGTAGTTTCAAACACTTCATAGATTAAACCACTGTAAAAAGTTCTTTGAAAGCATGCCACATGTGTCTGATTGATTTCAAGGAGATCTTGTAAGGAAAACTGATATGTCATAGGGCTAATATGTAGCAAAACAGCTTCCCTCTTGTGCAGAAAGCAAGGTTTACAAGGGCAGACTACCGAAGCACTCACATTACTCTTTGAACGTCACAGTTATTGTATACTACAGTAAATGCTATATTTGTGAATCACTCTTACATCTGGCTATCATCCCTGAGACAAACAGATGTAGTTAAAAACATAAAAATTAACAATATAATAGATTGGTGATTTCAAAAGCAGACACAGATTGCTGACACAGATACAGACATTATACTGAGAGTGGTATTTGCTTTTCATAGTATCTTTTCTGTGCATTGCATTACGTAATCTTTTTCAAGCATATTTTGATGGGTCGGCACCCATAGGTAGGTCCGCTGGGTCATCATGGCAGCAATTCAGCATGGCATGGGGACCCCAGAACTAACCGCATGCCACTCCTGGACTGACTTCTGTCTTCCTCTCCCTGGTTAACCTCATCTTTTCTTTTCCACGGGTGTGGCAAGCCTTCCCCAACCAGCTCCTGTTAGAACGCTGTACGGCCCCTACAAACTCTACCTGCGACCCATCCTGATCAATCATCTCCCTGGCTCCTATACTAAGGGTTCTTGCTTTGGCAGCTCCTGCACTGAGCAATGCAGGCTTCTTTTACTTCTCTCCTGCCTCTCATTCCTTCCAGAAGAAGGAACCTTACAGATTTGAAACAATTTTACCTCAAGAAGTTCCAAACAACTGGCGCATTCTTTGTTGGCTAAACCTATGTTCACCAATGGCAGCTGGGAGCGGCAGTCTGCACATCTCGCTCCTACTAGTAGGGAGGCAAAAGAGAAAAGACTCCTCCTGTCCTAAGTATTCAAAGATGTGTGTCACAGTCTCAGCACTCTGTGAAAGCACAGGACATAAATCCTATTGCTTTGCAGCTATTTATTGGAGGCTTTTTACCAATTTTATAAGGATCAACATGGTTTCTTTTTCGATGTGAGCATTTGATTTTCTTATCTTATGTAGCTTTAAATATAATATTCACCTATATTCTCTACTAGTATTTGAAGTTAAAAGGAAAATACCATTAAGAGAATGCTGTCTGCTTTACTCCAATTAAAAAGCTGTTTAATAAATAATTCATGACAACATTTATAGTGATTTATTTTAAAAATGGTTCAAGAAATCTTTTGAAGCATCAATATAAGTACACAGTCTACTTCAATCATTCTTTAATGAAACTGTTCATTTTAGTTCATAATAAATGATTGTGTAAATTGTTATCAATAATAGGAAGTTTATTAGCTCTTACTAATAGTAAGAGTACATTTATTCAAAACAAAATGCCTACAGAAGCAATTTTAAAAAGTTTTATATATAATACATAAGTACACGTTATATCTGTGTAAAAGGCAGTTGCTTTCCAATCATAATATTTTCTTTCTTTTTCTTCTTTTTTTTTTTTTTTTTTGGCGGAACCGGGGATTGAACTCAGGCCCTTGCACTTGCCAGGGAAGCGCTTATTCCACTGAGCCATCTCCCTGGCCCCTCCAATCATAATATTTTCTAGGAATCAAATTAATCTGTTATTTTATTGTATATTACATGATAATAATAATATATATTTGGTATTTTGTCTACATTATTCTTATAAGTTTTCATGGTATTTATTATAATTATTGTTGGTATTTGGTGTAAATTATTCTTGACATTTTTATAAGTACAGACAAGAAAATGATCCCCATTTTTTGGTAGAAACAGTCTTTGAGAGGAATCTACTTAGATTTTAAGGCTCTGAAGATACTTAGAACAGTATCTTTAGCAACTGTTACTATGTCAAAACACGATGAATCATAAAATTAGAAAGTTTCGCCAGAAGAAATCCTAGTGATCATCGAGAGCATGGGGCTTCGGCCCCTGCTGTACGTTAGAAAACACCTGGAGAGCTTTGAAAATTAAACCCTGGGGTGGATCTTGAGCATTATTGCTTTTAAAAAATGTTCTGCAATGATTCCAGGGTGCAGCCCGAACCACTGACCTACCCCAAACACACAGATAAGGAAAGCGAGGTGCAGCGAACCTAAGAAACTTGTTTCACCTCAGAGTCCCAAACAAAGCAGGCTCTTATCCCCACAGTAGAAACTTCTAAGGCTAAATTTTCACTGAAATGTGTTTTAAAA